ATTTTCTTAATATAATTTTATTTTCCACCTGTTATTCGCTATTATTTTGACCCCATCTGTACATTTTTGTGGGTCTCACCTAACCTTGATTTTCCCGGAAGTTAAGCGAGGGGGGCGGGCGATTTTGCGGGCAATGCTCTGAGTGGATTTTCGTTAAAAATTTAAATAAATTTCACAGTTGTTTTGTGGCTGGAAATTCCCTGGTTTTTCGTCAACCGGATTTTTTTGTATTCGGCTAAAGTAAAAATAATTGGCAAGCAACAAGCAGAACTTAATAAATACTTTAAATTACACATTTGAATTCGATATCCTTTAATTTACTTGTGAGGAAGTCTATGGGTCAGTAGGTGGTCATATTTATATTTAATATATTAATAAACAATAAAATTACTTATTGAAAGATTAAAATATTAAAGCAATTTAATATATACATATACAAAGAAAAGGTATAGTTATTCAGCTTTATAGTTAGGCTCTAAATTAAGGCTTTAAAAACGCTTAATTAATTTAAAAACCTTAATATTTGGCTCTAAATTATTTCTTTAATATAATATGAAGCCTGCAGAGCCCTTGAACTCATATTTTATTATTTTTGAGGGAGTCAATTGACTATGGATCTATGGATTTAATATAACATGAATAAAGCAGAGCCCTTGAACTCGTATTTAATTATTTTATCATGAATACAATATACCAAAATTAATAATAAAATTTTTTTAATACATTTTGCCTAGTTTGTAGTGCATTGCCAGACCAACTACTAGTCCAAGCTACCCGAAAACCCAATGCAATACCCTATTCCCCTGATCTGCGAAATAAGCGCAACCAATTTGGAATGTTAATTCCGTGCATGAAATACGTACGCAACGCCAGATGAATTTAATCCAAGCCAATAGGTTTGTAATCCTCGCCTGTAATCCTTAACGCACAAAAAAATTGCACATATATGTCCTGAAAACATGGAAATGAAAGAAAATTACAAATTCAAGGAGCAGGCAAAAAAGTTCATAGCATAATTTGCGGCATGCACGCTAAAATAATGAACTTTCGCTTGCATAAACAAAGGAGTGTGGAAAAGGCTTAAACCAGGGGAGAGGCAAAAATAAAAAAAAGGGAGTAAGTTAGTTAGTTAGTTAGTTAGTTAGATGGAATCTTGGGGACCACTTCGGCCTGGCAATTTCATTAAGGATAAAAAATACAACAAAAAAATGCAAAGGCAGGTGGCAAATTTTTACCAGAGAATAAAATTTTATGCTTGCACTTTATAATTTGTTCAGGGCTGCAGGCCGTTCCGGAAATTGTTTTCTTTTTGCTGAGGGAAAATACCTGAATTATTTTTCCGACTTATCAAATACTTTTGATTACATTTTTCGCTCGTCTTTTTTGTCTTATTTTCATCTTTAATGAACCTTTTTTTCCCTGGTTCATTTGATGCCGCAAAGCCAGCCCTATGATAATTTCGTTTTCCATTTTCCGTTGCCCTTTCCTTTAGGTTTTCCTTGCTTTTTTATTGTTGTTTCTGATGGGACAGGAGAGTGTGTTTTTTTCTCGACCGTTTGCTGCGGTCGCTGATGAACTGCACACATCACCCACCCGGCAAACAACAGCGATGTCCTTTTAGCACATCCTGCCCACACACCTGCCGTGTGTCCTGCGTCCTGCGTCCTGAGTCCTTTGGGGCAAGGCTCCCTACACTTCGGCTCCCGCGGTCGCGAAGCTAAACGCGACTGTCGGCTGCTTAAAAGCCATTTTTGCATTTTATATTTAATCTTTTTTTGCTGTTCTTTCCCTACAACTGGGGCTCCCGGAAATGCCATCCTTTTTCCCGTCCACTCAGTGGCTGTGACGTTTATCCTTTAACATACCCTCCCACAGGGTATTTTCCTGAGTTTTTCCTTTTTGTTTTTTACTCATAAGTTTAAGCATGGAATTAGTGTTCATTTACACTTTATTTACTATAAATAAATGAAATAAATACACTTTTAATTAATTAAATAAATTCATTACTAAAATTCTGAATATGTTTTCAATTGTTTATAAGACAGAAAGTTTTCTTGGGTATTTTGTTAATTAATTTTGGGCAAGTAAATCTTGTTTTCTTTAACTCATAAGTAAAAGCAAGGAATTAGTTTTAAAATACATTTTATTTACAAATATTAAGATAAGGATAAATAAACAGTTAAATTATAAAATAAATTCATAACTAATATACAGAATACTTTTTCAATTGTTTATCAGGAAGAACTTTTATAGGGAAAAATAAAATCTTAAATTGTTTTGGTCAAGTTTGTCAAGTAAAGCCAAGGAATTAGCTTTAATTTACACTTTATTTATCAATATTGAATAAGTCAGATATTTATTTAATTAATTAAATTAATTTATATATCAAATTTAGAAGACTTCTTCAATTGCTTATCCAACACGTACTTTTATAGGGTATTTTCCCAATTTGTTTTGGGTCAAGTTAATCTTTCGTACTTGCTCATTTTTTGGTGTCCTCTGCACCTCTGTTTATTCTTTATCCTTTCGCTTTGCTTTCTATTTTATTTTGTTTTTTGTTTCTGACATTTTTTGTGACGCCATTTTCGGTGTTTGTTGCTGTTACCGCAGCATGCAAACATTTTGTAGCTGTGTGTCCTGGGAAAGGCACCGATGTCCTAGTTAAACTTTGCCTGCTTTGTCACATTTGCAATATTTATTGCCTTTTGATTATATTTCAGACGGAGCTAACAAAAAATAATAATAAAAACGGAAAGGGAGAAGCTAAAAAGCTTGTGTTTAATTTTTTTTGGGAGGCATTTAAGAAATTTCCTTTCGTGTGATGCGAATTTAATGGAAAACCCCGAAATGGGGAGTGGCATTGACATTGAGTTGACGGGACCTGGGCAATTTTTAAGGTTTTTTTCCCCAAGTCTTTAATCGAGTCAAAGTTTGTTTGTTTGAGCATTTTTCCAAGTGGACGGAGATTGTTCACCGACTTTACTTACTTACTTACTTACTTACTTAGTTGCTGGATTTTCCACTCTTTAATAAGCGTCAAAGTTAACAAAGTTGCAGTCGAAGAACTTGGCTCATCTCGACTTTTTCGCCTTGTATTTGGTTTTATTTGATTTTTTTCTGTTGTTTTTGTTACCCACCCATCTACCACCCGTTTTTCCGAGCTTTTCACGGAACAGATCCAACTGTGATTGTAAAGTTTCATTGATAATTTTAACGAGTCCTTGTTTTTAGGGTGGATTTTTGGTCAGAGTTGGGGATTGCGTGTCCTTCTTGTGGAACTGCAAAGGCGCTTTAAGCACTTCTGAAAAGTTGGTTGTTCTTTTAACAATAATTCATGGAATGAACAGTTTCTGATAAATTAAAGATTTTATTAATTCTCTATACATAATTAAGATTTTCAATTTTCAAGTTTAAAATGATTTGAATTGCATTTCAATAGAATATACATTTAATTTGTATTTCTCTAGATTATTTCTTTTATTTAATTTCTAATTATTGTTAAATATCTTTGAAATTTCAAAGGCCAAAAGTCACCTTCATTGTCTCTATAGTTTTTCCTCACTTTTTCCCTGACTTTTCATATACTTTTCCTTGGCTAAACCGAAGCAATGAGCAAGTATTGCTTTCATTTCAGTTAACTTCCTTCTGCAATTTCCTTTTTCTGGGATTTGTTTTTTGTTCATGGTTGACTTTATATATAAATTTCATATTTTTGTTGTTTTTTAAAGAAAACTTGTCCCTCTTATGCAACACTTGGTTTAATCTGATTTGAAATCAATTTCAATTTAATATGCACACAAATCATCCTTTATTTTTTTGTTCGGCAATGCCTGCAATTAAGCCTGGCAAGTCGGCAATGCAATCCGATCTCAAGATGATTTTTTATGGCCCTTTATGTTTTATGACTTAATAGTCGGGCCCCACCACCGAATAAAAAATAATAAAAAAAGGTGCAAAAATTGAATTAATTCTGCAAGTCAGTCGGCGGAACGTTGAACTCGTTTCCCGGGCACATCCCTCCCTGTCGGCACTTAATAAATTTATGATGAACCTTCACACACTCTTGGCTACGGAATTTTTGGGGCTGCCTTTTAAAACCATTTCCACTTCAGTTCTATCCGGTACTCAACGCTGGAAAATGTAGGAAAATCATATGAAAAATTATAATAATAATACTATAATAATATAGAAATTTAATATAATATAATATTATAAAGATGTGCTTGGTGAAAATCAGTTTAAATGTATATTTGAAGTTGATTTCTGGGCTGGAATGTATCAATTAACTTTGATATTTAACACTTATGATATTAATATATTTATTTACTTGGCTTCTTTTTGAGTTTAAATAAATAATGCACATATTTTTTCTCTCTGTACTGGACAACGTCTCGAAAACATTGCGATTCATATCGTTTTTGGTTTGGTTTCGTTTTCGTTTCTTAATTGCCTTTGGCTCCAGAACCTCGCCAAAAATGTGTTAAAAATGCAAAAATATGGCCAAATATTCGGTGTACATATATCGTATAAGTATATATATATATATATATATCTGAATGTCAGGGCAATGGGGGATGCCCTGCACTTTTATGTTTTATTGTCCCGAAACGCTTTGCGGTAAATTTATTGCCAAATTTGTTGGCGACTTTCGAAAATTCCCGAAATCTTCTTAGCCAAAAAAGTACAAAAAATACAACAAAATAAAAAAAAATAATACAACAAGAGGGGCGGCAACCATAAAAACGGAGCCCCAACAGCTACAAACAACCTGAAACATCGTCAATAATAAATTCATAATTATCGCATCCTTTGCCTTAAGAAAATTTTTTATTATTTTTTAATCTCATTTCATTGAACACAACACAAAAAAAATAATACAAAAAAAATTGTGGAAAAAAACATAAAATTCATAATAATATAATACGAGTAGTCGTTGGGGTCCAGCGAAACGAGAAGCAGCAATAATAATAATAATGAGGATGGTCTGCAATTACAGTGCCTCAGTAGCGGCCCCCTCTGCGATTCGGAGTCACATTCCCCGTTCCCCGGGGCGTCGACGTCGACAATTGAGAGGGGGTTACCGCAGCTGAGGGGGATTCCAATCGGGAACTGGTAGAAGCTTCCAAGGGGGAGGACTCCCCGGCCATGGGCACTTCAATGGAACGCGGGAGATTGGGATACACTTGCGGTGTAATTGCTGAATAGTAATAATAAAAAAAAAACAATAATAAATAATATATTAAAAATACAATATAGTAACTAGATAATCAGTGAATTAATATTTGAATTATTTAGTCTGTGCGTGCTTCATTAATCATTGAAATTGAAAGTGAGATTTTAATTGAATTAAATGTATTGTAAACTACTAAACACAAGTAATTTAATATATATTATAGATATATATATGTAAATGATCCTTATTTTATATAAAGAATCTATAAGATAGTTTATAAATTATAGATTCTACTCAGACGAGAGACCAATTATTTTAATTCAATTAACTTCGCTCACAATTTAATTCAAACTTCCTTTACCTTGATTAAAAAACAATTTAATGATCGATAATTCTACTCACATTGATTCTGCCGATAGCCAAATTGATCCGCATTGTAGAATACCGTGAGAAACCGACCATCGCTCATTCGATAGGAATAATATCCAACAACCATTAAAGTTTTCACCTCATTGATTTTGGCAAAGTAACCCCGCTCGTAACGCGACGTTCCATCATCCAATTCGAATCGATACTCGTAACTGCCATCGGGATATCGATTATCGAATCGATCCAATAATCTCACCTTGCTCTCGGCTCCCCTTCCCTCGCTCTCCACAATTTGCTGGGCGGCAGAGAGAGAGCACGAAGCGAGAGTTAGCAGGAAAATGGAGAGCAGGATCAGACCGGAAGCCGCCATTTTGGGTGAAGTGATGTCTGTGAGGGTGAGGGAAATGGGTATGTGTAATATGTGGGTGTTACGATGATGGCGTGTGCTGTCGCGTGTGAATTTCTTAACAGTTTAATTCGGAAACAGTGTTAACTTTGGCTTTTTATAGTCGTCGACAAACGAAAGGCAGCGACTGCGGGCAGAGACGCGACTGCGACTGAGACGCACAAGATCTTCGACCTGAGCTGGCTATGCCAAAAAAGTCAAGGGAATGAGGGGATGAAGAGGAGCAGTCCAGGTACACTGGGAAACGTTTCTTAATTACCAGAAAATTTATAAATTAACTATCAATAAATATACGCAAAAAGCCGATTAACAAATGATGCAAAACTACTAAATATTAATTAATATATATATGAAATAATATTTATTATTACATTAAATATTAAATAAGTTTTCCAAATATTTCCACAAATATTTTGGCTTAAATGTTAAGCAATTCCAGGAGTCTAAAGTACAGAAGGAACCTCTGGAATTGAGACTTCCGTTGTCCTGGAATTGCCCTGGAATTTCCAATGGAAAGAAAGGAAGTGGCGCCTCCATCTTGCTTTTTATTCATTCACACAATCTTGTTGGTTATTTCAATTTAATTAAAGACTTCCTGTCTCGCATAAGTTTTAAATTAAGCTCTATAAACCCAGTATTTCCGCTCAGTGCATGCCCATCTCTATCTCTCCCTCTCTCTCTCTCTCTGAGCCATTGCCTTCCACAATTCTCAGATTTAATCGTATAAAAAAAATCTTAATTTCATCTACTTACACACATGCTTATCGGGGGTTAAGGGAGGGGCTAGGGCTCTGTAGGGGGCGGGGCTCGGGGCTGGACAGGTTGCTAACTGGCCAATTTGGTTGCGCCTCTTTTGTGTGTTTGCTTTTGGCGCTGTTTCGCTGTTCGCACGGCCGCCAAATTGCGTTCATTGGGTTAAGGGGGAGTTCCAAAAGGGGGCTAGTATGGGTTAAGGGTGGAGGGAGGTGGGAGGTGGGAGGTGGGGTTACGGATAACAAGCAATCAAAGTTGGTAACTGATACACCAGACATAATCGATTTGCTGCCAATTGATGTATGGCCCAGGCAAAGCGATACAAAGTGCCTTTAATGCCGCTTGTTCAGGAATGGTTGGTCCATTATGTATCTAATAAGCCAGATAAATTATATCATTAAATGATTTATGTTTCCATAGTGACAGATCATGAGTGCGGAAATTCAAATTCTTTATGTACATTTTTAAATATTTAAGGAAATTATACAAGAACGAAAGGGGTCCCATATAAACTAATGAATACCTAAAGATATTTACTTTCAAGTTTTGTAAGTTCTATATTTACCTATACTTAAAAAGATGTACAGATTTGAGGTTTTTTTTAATATTATTAAGAACCTTTATTTTACATATTTTTTATAATTTATTTTCTTTACTTTAAAGTTTTCTAAATTCTGTTTTACTAACTGAAAAAATGTAACAATTCAAGAGGGTTTTTATTTTATTCAAAACCTGTCAATGAATATTTTTTAAAATTTTTTGTATTGAGCTATGATTACTTTTATGTCCTGTTCTTAATACTATTTTCTGGGGAATTTTTCACCTTTTTTATAGTTTTATACTCAGCACTTTGTTTAGTTTTAATTTAAGTCAAAAACCTTTTGAATACCTTGTAGAATGAAGAACACTCTTTTATAGGTTCCCGATTCAGAACCCTTCTATGCATATTTTTTTCTTAATTTTTATATTGAGCTATGGTCACTTTAATGTCCTTTTCTTAAAACTATTTTCTGGGAAATTTTTCTAAGTTTTTGTACTCATTTCTTTATTTAATTTTAATATAAATAAACAACTTTTGAGTACCTTATATATCTCACAGTTGATCACACTTTCTTATAGCTTTCTTAATTTTTTTACCTTTAAGAAACATCTATATTCCCATAGATTTACCATAGTTTTAAAACCACTGTCCCCCTGCAGTAGCTAAAAAATATTCATAAACCCTACAATTTGGACGGCTCTGTCATCGCTCAAAAGCTCAAAAAGGAGGGGATCCCATTTGGAGCAGATGCAACACAGTCAGGGAATCAGAAGGAGGAGGAGATGATGGGTCGGAAAGGGAGCTCCGGAAGCAAGCGAAGGCACTCCTGCTCCTGTGTCCTGCGGCCAATTAGGGCTAATTTATGATTTCAATCATTTCTTAATTGCATTTAATGTGCAGCGATTTAGCGCTGGCTTGGGACCTGCTGACGAAGGTCAGGGGCGTGACAGGGGGGTGGGAGGACAGAGGCTGAGGGCCCAAACGAGGGACTACTTGGTCAGTCGGCCAAAGTTAATGATGTGCAATTGAGCCGGGTTGCCAGGGGAGAGCGGAACTTAACTGGCTTTGGCATAGTGCTGATGGTGCTCCAGGGCAGCTGTCGATACGTCGACACGGACTTATCGCCATTTAATTAATTTGCGCACACCTCAAAGGTCACGCCAATGCATTTAAAAATCACTCTTAATAAATGTAGATAATGTTTTTTTATTTATTATTGTTTTTCGTTGGGAAGTAAATGATTGATCGCTTGGGTTCTCTTACGAAATATAGTCATAAATATACAAGGAAATTTGGAAGAATGCTGAAAAGATTATTTTACTAAACTAAATATATATATTTTAATATACAAAATCCACAAAATATATATATTTTAATATACAAAATATATTTCCTATTTTCCTTACCCACCAAACTATGATTTAAAACAATTGTGTTTTAGTTTATATTGTTATTTTCCCCCTTTTGTTTATTTTTTGTCAAGTCAAGCCAAGTGCAGATTTACGGCCAAGTAGCAGTGACAGTACAGTGACAATCGCAGTCACTGTTTTGCTCGCTCACTGGGTGAGTCAGTCACGCAGTCAGTCTGTCAGTTTGTCAGTTTGTCGCCCTGTCAGTTTGGGGGCCAAAAAAAAGCACGCTAAACTTGCCAAAGTGGCAAAAGCAGCAGCAGCAGCAGCAGTAACTTCCTTCATCCTGGCATAAACTGATTTATTTATAAACGTATTTTATCTCTGCCTGTGACAAAGCATTCATTTCACATTCTGGCGGACAAAAGACAGAGGGCCCAGTTCTCCTCCACCCACCGCCCCCCAGAAATTAAAATACAAAAGTGCAAAAATGTTTGGCAAACTTGTTGCGCCCCAAATTGAGAAACACAGGCAGAAAATTCATTATTAAAATGATGAGAATTAAGATTAAATTTAGTTGTATTATATAGCATATTTATTGCTAGAATTGAAAAAAAATTAAATGATTTACTTAGGAATTTTTTAAATATATCCTGATCCCTTTCTCTCTGTGCTCTTGCTCTCAGAAAGGAATGTGGCCCCATGAGGGGGAAAACTTTAAAGAGGGGATAAACACCATCAGCAAGGTCATTTGTTTTGTATGTCGATGACAAAGACAACGTCCAAGAAGAATCCACAACAGAAGGAGGAAGATGTTTCTCAAAAGTCGTGACAGGAAGTGATTCCTTAATTCCTGGTACTATATGCCAATGCACTGCACAAAATACAAGTTATTTGAATAAAAGCATCACTGTTTCATGTTTCAGTTTCGAAAATTGTGGTTCCCAATATTTAGAGATTTAAAAAATTATTTTCTTCAATTGTGAAAATCCTTGAAGTCCTTGTAGAACCAATTTTCTTCGAGTGTTTTACTGTAGCCTTTGCTGCTGTCTGTCTGTGATGCTAAATGGTTGAGACAACAATGCTGTTTGTCATTACCGGCCATCGGTTATTTTTGGACAGGTTGTCTTAACACTCGGAAAAAATATATATAATAATTATTAAAAAATCAATTTAAAAGCCATTGTAAGAAATGTAATGATTGAAATTAATTGCAAGGAAATATATATATTTAATTCAATGGCAAAATGTTGATGATGTTATTTCGTTTTAGGGATAGAATATATATATTTTTATATATTTTTTTATGCATTTTTTTTCTGTGTGCATATCAAGAACCAAGGAGCAGCAGGAGTCCCACTTTTGCCTTACTTTGTAGGTGTCAGCGATAGGACCCGCGGCAGTCTGTTGACGACGTGATGCAGCTTTTTAGCAAGCAGTCAAAACAGAGGCACAGTGGGGCAAAAACGAAGAAAAGGAGAACTTAAGACACTGAACACATAACAGAAAAATACTTTTGCGTATTTGTTCCACCTTTAAATTCTTTATATTTTAAATATTTGACTTCGAAATGCTTATTCAAACTCGAAAATGAATAACAAATCAAATTAAATAATAGGAAATAATTAAATAAACATTTAAGGATAATTTTATCTGTATATACAGAAGATATTTGCTCAGATTAATCATCATTGCGTTATAAAATAATCCATAATAATGTTTACCTTTCAATTATATTTACTTATCCCCTTGCAAAAATTTATATTCACAAACATTTCACCATGCTTCTTGATGTTGTCAATTGCTCTCAAGTGAATCTACAGCCAAAAAAAAAAAAAATATATAAATAAATAAATTCGCCGACGAGACGAGACGAGAAGAAATCGCAGATACAGATACAGATACAGATACTGACTTAGCCACAGATAAACACACGGAACAGAACCAGCCCAGCAGAGGGGTGTACGGAGGGGTACAGACAAAGTTACACACAAATAATGTACGAAAGTGGCTTATAAAACAAAATTTGTATGAATGGTCCATGTAGCGTTGGCTGCCTACGTGACATGACATCCCCGAGATACAACTTGTTGTGGAGCCTCCAACACACACACCCCCACTTAACCACCGCTGTGAGCAGAGGCGTGCCTTAAGGGGGAGAGATTCCCATACTCTGTCTCAAACGAAACCCAATTGAAGTAATTTTTGTGGAGAATTGTTCACTTTGGCGAATGAACTATGACATATTCATCCAAAATTGTTCATTCTTAACGTTTACTTGGTTAGTTGTTCCCCTGTTCTCTGGTTTAAAAATATTTCTA